GGCACTATATAAGAGCCATGGTGGCCCCTCGGACTCATTTTCGTCAGGAAGCGGCTCTCCGGTCTACCTGCCTGATTATCTGGTACTTATTCTGTTCTGTCTAACCAATAAAGCTGTTGGATCTTTTTTACACAACCATCATTCAGCAATACCGAAATCAAGTTTACAAACAATACTGAACAATCTCAGCAATAAAGACCCGCGTGGCAAAGAGCTCAAATCACCGACAAACTGGTGCATCGGCTCCAATCGGATTCAGGTTGGAATTTTCTTCTTCAACTGCGATTTTCTTTTATCAGTTTTCTTATAATCAATCAATTCTCAGCAATTTTCTCCAATTCAACCATAAAATTATAATTGATCAATATCATCCAATCAATCAATACCATGTCACTGATTGGCACGCAGAAACGTCTCTTGACGACATTTACCAATAAACTTGAACATATCATCTCGAAGCTGAAGGAAGAGACTCCGGCAGAGGTCCTAGGTGGTTCGGCAGCGTCCCAAAACGATCTTATGAAATCGATTCGACGACTCGAAGAAGGGAACAAGATCCTGGCCGAAACTTCAGCGAAAGTCGAAGAGAAACTGAACAGCTATGCCTCGACTGTAGACGCTCTTGGGGAACCATCCTCTAAGGAAATTGAAGACTACCAGGAGTACGCGGAAAGAGCAGAGGCATCAATATCGCAGGCATTCGACCTGCAAACTCTCCTGCAAGCCCGGCTTCATTCGATGAAAAACCAAATGATGTCAGCAGATACCGGGAGCCCCAATTGTACCGTAACCCAGCTCAAACCCAAACAGCTGGAGCTTCCGCCGTTACCAATACCGACCTTCGGGGGAGATTTGTGGGAGTGGGAAAATTTTTGGGAACTGTTCAACAATAACATACATTCCCAGGACCTCCCAGAGATGGTCAAGTACAACTACCTGTTGAGCGCCCTGAAGGGACCGGCGAAGGAAGCAATAATGAAGGGACCGGCGAAGGAAGCAATAAAAAGATTCCAAGTAACAAAGGGGAACTATGAGAAAGCGATACAGTTTCTCCTATACAAGTATAACAACAAGGAGTTGATAATTAGAGCGAGCTGTTCAAAGAGCTGGATCGATGCTTTCTACGGAGCCCTTCATTCAAGGATCAGCGATCCTTTCGAGATGAAATCGAAGTTATAGTCACGCAGTTACAGGATAAGGGGGAGAACATCAGTACCTCCTGGATAATCAAGAAAATTCTAGCGAAATTCCCAAGCAATATCATGCGCAAGGCTATCACCAGAAGGCAAGGAATGGAGACCGAAGAATCATTCACTATCAATCACCTGATTCACCTGCTGGACGAACTCCTGACAACAGAGGAGCTATGGTCAGCATACACAGGAGATTTACCAAACGAGCAGCCTTCGAACATTCTCAAAACGAACCATTCGTCACCTCGCTCATGCATGTACTGCCATGCTAAGCGCCCATCCTTTACGTGCACGGCGTACCCCACCCCTCAAGCACGTTCTTCGTATCTTACAATTAGGCAAAAGCAGCTATGCCTCTTGTGTGCCTCTCCAACACATAAAACTTCTAAATGTAAACGGCGGCATTGCTTCAACTGCAAAGGACTCCACCATACTTCATGTTGCTACAAACAAAATCCATAAAAACCAAGGGAACAGATCCCAATAAAACGCGGACAATTCAGCAGTTCCAACAAGAAGTTCAGATAAAACTTCCAAATCCAACAAGTGCAGCGGCGAGAACATTTCAAAAAACAATGCAATGACGCACATTACTACGACGTTCCAAGCAAAGGAAATGTTCCGACCATCCCTCCCCGTTGGTGAAGTCACTGTAATCCATCCAGGTACTACAAGGAAATTGATGCAAATCGATGTCCCCCTGGATAGTGGAGCTAAACTATCGTTCATCAATAAATCCCTAGCGGAAGAACTTTCTCTCCCAGTCATGAAGGAGGAGCTCATGAGGATGCATACCTTTGGCTCCGAAGAAATTCGTCAAAGGTCTTGCAAGCTGGTCGAGTTGGAAGTTTGGGATAAGGAAGGATGCTTACACTCTTTGTGTCTTTACACAAACGATGTGATCACTTCTCCCTTAACCAGTCCGCGTATACCAAAATCAGACATTGAAATCATACGGAAACTGAACATCCCAATCCAAAATCTCAATATCAATAGACGAAACTCCAAGCCAGCAATACTTATCGTGTGCGACAGATGTGGTCATTTATCCGCACAGACACCACACCAATACCACTGCCATCGGAACTAACACTTCTCCCGACAAAATTGGGCTACATTGTCTCCGGAAGAGTACAGACTACGCCCAATCAAAATCATCAGCATATATCCCTGACTTCCACTGCTCAAGACGAAAGTATGAAGTGGAACAACTACTGGTCCATGGATATCCACGTAAACACCAACACTCTCTACGACATAACAATATCGGAGTAAGAGCAAGAAATGTGGGAAAGATATTGGACTTCAGACGCCGCCGGAACAGTAGAGTTTGCGGGATCCCAAGAACAAATGCGTGACGCAACAGACAGAACGATCTGGGATAAATTCAATAACTCTATAGAACAACGCGATGACGGATACTACCTCCGTCTACCGCGGAAAGAAAATCATCCACCTCCCCCGGACAACTACGCTTTGGCGTACCGAAGGCTCCTCAATGTTTCGACATCACTGAAAAAGGACAGCAATCTTCTCGAACAATCACACGTCTCAAACGTCATCCAAGAACAGCTTCAAAAAGGAATCGTGGAGCCAGTAAACAGTAACACGGCACCTACTGGGAAAACAATACACTATTTACCTCACCAGCCGGTATTGACGCCACAATTCAGATTCTTGCTCATTGATCACTGATGGCGACAAGCGCTACCGGTTCATACAGAGGGAAAGGCATTGCCGACTATGCCTCGGAAAGAACCCGGTCCTGACGCTTTCAGAGCTAAGGAAAAATTATGCTGGTATTGCGACTTGTCATGGATACGGTTCTAGACTTCCTGATCAGCGAGAAGAAGCACCATAGATCTCTCTGCAGAGTACCTGATTTGAAGGATCGTATCACGAAAAAAATCAGGGTCATCAAAATGGAAATCGACCGCGCAAAATACGAACAAGACGCGTCGGCCGGAGTGTAGCGAAATCGCTACCTCATACCTTGACAAGATTCGTGCCTGTTGAACTAATTAGCCTCACAGCCTAACACCGTGTTGGCGTGGACCATATCGAGCATGGGTGGTCACGGATTGACCACCCCGATCGCGCGGGAAAAGGACACTATATAAACCACCAAGGTGGCCTCTCGGACACCTTCCGTCTGCAAGTCGGATT